TACATGGGCTTCTGCCACTGACGGGACAGGTGCAGCGGTAAGGATGGTGTTGCTAGACTACAGAGGACAAGAAGGCATTTGATCTCATTTTTCTCCGGATCCTAGTTAAAAAGATTCTTTCCCTGAATGTTCCACGCAGTGTAGTTCACTGGGTATGCGACTTTTTATAAAACAGTCTGCAACGAGTCAAACTGTCCAACGATTGCTTCTCCGAATGGGGTGCAGTTCCACCTGGAGTTCCACAGGGTACGAAATTAGGACCATGGTTATTTCTCCTCATGATCAATGACCTTAAACCATCCGAATGGCACTCGTGGAAGTACGTAGACGACACGACATTAACCGAGGTTATCCCAAGAAATATCCAAAGCCAAGTGCAGAGTGCAGTGTCTGATGTAGAGAAATGGAGTAAAAACAACAAGCTCCAGTTGAACGAAGACAAGTGCAAGGAAATGATAGTTGACTTTAAGAAAGTGAAACAGCAGCTTAAGACCATCATCATCAATTCCAAAGAACTCGAGCTAGTCAGCAGTGCCAAGATATTGGGTGTCACGGTGTCTAACTCACTGGAATGGATTGACCATGTCAACTATGTCGTGAAGAAAGCTAACAAACGTTTGTATTTCCTAATTTTGCTTAGGCGTGCAAGCATTCCTGCTGACCATATCTTAAAATTTTATTGTACTTGCATCAGACCAGTTCTCGAGTATTGTGCACCTGTATTCCACCACTCATTACCTGCATATTTATGTAACGATCTTGAACGCATTCAAAAGCGAGCGCTTTCAATTATATCTCCTGGGTCATCTTATACGAACAATCTTAACAAGCATAATATTAGTTCTCTCAAAGACAGGCGTCAGAAACTGTGTGAAAACCTTTTCAAGACAATAGTATCCAACCCAGACCACAAGCTTTATCAACTACTGCCACCCAAACACAATCCCACTTACAACCTGAGGAGAGAACGTGCGTTTGATTGTCCTACTATACGAACCAATCGTTTTAGAAACTCTTATATTTCCGCAATGTCAAATAATTTAAAGAAATAGGTTTGCTATGAATTGTTTTCATAACATAAGTCTAATTTGAACCTTAAAGATCGTAATGTATATGTATGAAAATATGTGTACTGTTAGTATTTGTATGTGTGTATATGTATATGCATGTGTTTATCGACTTTATAACCTACAGTTAATTTATATGTGTTGTAAATTTTACGCAATTCAGCTTTTCGGGGCTGCGATGTAAAATCTTATTAAATAATCTATCTATCTATCTATCTATCTAACTCTAGCGTATTCAGCGTGTGCCTAGAGAATTCTTATCGTATAAGGCGTACGTCCGATACGCACAAAATTTTTGACCATGCTTAAAAAAAATTTCTGCCTCGCCGTATGCCAGCGTATGCCACCGTACGCGACCGTTGTTGAAACGTATACAACCTATGCCTAACGTACCCATAGCGTATGCCAGCGTATACCGGCGTATGAGTGATATTTTTCATACACTGGCAGGTTAGTACGATACGCAATGGTGTGATAGGGAATTTAAGAAAACGTTTTCAGAAGAAAGTTCACCAAACCCAACTAATGTGAAACACATTAAAGAAGAAGACGAGTCTTATGAAAAGACTGTGACTGGAACAACAATTATTAAAGCGAACAGCAACACGGTCAAGGTGCTAGGCTCCATTTGGAACACAGCGTCAGATATCCTTGAATTCAAGTTCTCCAATCTTGTCGACGAAGCAAAATCACTTCCTCCAACAAAACGATCGTTGTTAAAGATATCAGCCAGTGGCGGCGCCAGGGAGGGGGGGGGGAATTATTTTTTGCCCCCCCCCCCCCATTTTGCCCCCCCCAAAAAAAATTTTAGTCACTAAGAGCGTCGACTAAAAGCTACACAAGCGTTTTGTCGTTATCGGAAAATGTATGGCTTATAAGTTGTCATTACTCATTAGTGAATGCGCGTATACATGAAACTGTTTTTTACAGTTTCAATATTAGTTTTAAAATCTCTGAATGGTAAAATACTCCAATAATACGTTTCAAAAAAGACAAAAAAAGCTTTAGTTTTGCAGAGTTAAATTCTCAAACGTGTAAGGCACTAATTAAGTATCACGAAATTATTTGAATAAACCACATCGCATATATGGGGGGGAGGGGACGAATATCCTAAAGAGTGGCGATAATCCTAGGGTATTCGCCTCACCCCCCTGAGAGGCGATATTCCTAGGATATTCGCCCCCAGTGGCAATATTCCTAGGAATATCCCCCCTTTTGATACGGGGGGGGGGGCGAATCTCCTGGGGGGGGCGACCTTTTTAAAAATTCTATCTTGCTCCCCTAAAATATGAGTTTGCTCCTCAAATGC